CCCCCCCCCCCCCCCCCCCCCCACGCTGTGAAACATTTTTCCCTCTCCCTCCCCACTTCTGTAAACCTCAGACTTGGGAGCTAAAACCAGGCAAAGGATGTTGAGAGCGTCTGCCTCCTGCCTCGTTTGGAGTTCTCCCTTAGGTGCGTCAGAGAGAAACAGACTGGTGACCAGTCGCTGTCTTCACATTAGTGATTTAAGGGAGAAAGTCCTTTCATGTTTCTGGGCTGGCACGTTAATTTGCTGTTTCCACTCTGTGTCGGCTGAGGTGATCTCTAGACCGCGGTACAGTAAACGTACAAAAGTTACAGCCGTGCCCCGGCCAGTTCTCAGTTACCTTTGTTCAGCTTATGTCCTGCGTGAATTATTCATGGAGAACTCGAATACCTTCTCCACTTGGGTTGCGGCTCACTGTCGCCTACCGCTTTGGATGTGGGATGTAATCAGGAAAGGAAAACCCATCTAACATGAGCTCAAGTAATGGAGGGTTAGCACGAAAACCTGCCCGCTGTGTCCAGTCACTCTTGTCATTCATACTCAAATCAGAACCACTCGGTGCTGTCTGCTGTTCTCCTCTTATGGAGAGTCACGAGCTGTCCAGTGACCAGCATGGGGCACCATCCTCCAGCAGAGATTGTCATTTTCCATGCCGAGTCGTGGGAACACAGGGACAGGAGGCTTTCACTCCATTCTCCCCAGCTATCCTGTCGTGGAGCTCCTGTGATCCGCTATGAAGACATCATGGTCCTGATTCTTTTTTTTTTTTTTTTTTGGTATAAAAATAAAATAGGAGACATTAAGGTCCTGACTCTTTTTTTTTAAATTTTTGGTATAGAAATAAAATAGGAGACATTATGGTCCTGATTCTTTTTTTTTTTTTTTGGTATAAAAATAAAATAGGAGACTTTATGGTCCTGATTCTTTTTTATTTTTTTATTTTTTTTGCTATAAAAATAGAATAGGAGGGCTTCCCTGGTGGCGCAGTGGTTGAGAGTCCGCCTGCCGATGCAGGGGACGCGGGTCCGTGCCCGGGTCCGGGAAGATCCCACATGCCGCAGAGCGGCTGGGCCCGTGAGCCATGGCCGCTGAGCCTGCGCGTCCAGAGCCTATGCTCTGCAACGGGAGAGGCCACAGCGGTGAGAGGCCCATGTACCGCAAGGGAAAAAAAAAAAAAGAATAGGACCACCTTTTAATTTATTCTGAGGCCAGTAATACCCTGATTCCAAATGGATATCAAGGCATCACAAGAAAACTACAGACCAGTATATTTTTTAATAAGACAGAAATACCCAAATCACTCTAATGCCATATTTACGTTCCTAATTCTGAGCCTTCTCTACGATGAAGAAATTGGCTAGATTTTATTCTATCCCATTTTTTCAATCTTCAAGCCACAGGCGGGAAGGTTCAGTGCCTGTTAATCAATCAAAAAAAAAAAAAAAAGGTAAAAAGGGGCGATCCCTTTGAGATGAACCTTTGACGCTGGGGCCATGGGAATATAGGGCCAGCGGGAGTTGACTTTCCTGGAAAGTCTCCCAGGATTGCTGGATCCTCTTGGCCACCCCAGTGTGGAGCCGTGAGCAGAGACTGCGTCGGAGACGATGCAATCCCGTCCTCTGCTCAGAAACACCTAGGCATCGCCTGTTACCAGGTTACCAAGCAACCCTCAGTTCTTGTTGCTAACTGTTCAGATACAGAGGCAAATGCAGCCTTTGGGGGAGCACAAAGATGGTTTGCAGAGACCGAGGGAACCCAGCCACCTCCGGAAAGGTTGCTGTTCTTCCCACCTGGGCACACCTGTGGCTGTCAGGCAGTTGAAGACTGTAAAACTGGTAATGGCTATTTGATGACTGGCCTTGTGCAGATCAAGTCTGAATACCTGTTATTTGTACCATCTGGATTTGCCCTTGAGCTAGCTGTAAATGGAGCCCAGAGATTGGTTTAATGGGTGTTTAGTGAATAACATCAGCCTTTAAAAAATAATGTTGGCGCTGCTGTTACAATGTCCCATAATTGGTTCAGCAAGAGGAAAAGCCAGAGAAACCACACTGTGGGAGAGGAGGTCCAGCTGCTCTGAGCATCACCAGCAGCCCAAGCTGGGAAAAGCATTTATGCATTTATAAGTGCTTTCCTATGTATGTCTTGGTGCCAAATGTTTTACAATATCAACTGTTCTCAGGGCCGGGGATATTTTGGGACTTAGCTAGACCAGAAGTTCTTATAAATCAGTCTCTCTCTCTCTGTCTCTCTCTCTCTCTCCCACCCCCCTCAACTATTTATCTCTCTCCAACTAGCTTTCTTTTAATTAAGAAAGTAATAACATGGATTACAAATAAAAGTAAATTTTCTTCCACCTTCAGATCCCTTATGGTCTAGGTTCCCATCTCAGACACACACACTGTTTCCAGGTTCTTGCATTTCCTTTCAGAAATATTATGTTTATACCATCATACTTGGCCCGTTGTTCTGTGCCTTGTGTTTTTCACTTAATGACACATTTTGGTTTTTGTTTCCTGGGCATCATTCATTGATTCTTATTCTTGGTCGTGATCTTACCTAATTAGTCCCCTCTTGATGGCCCTTGAGGGTGTTTACACTCTTTTGCTATTATAAAGAAAGTGGCAGAGAGCACTTTCATGCATACATCTCTATGGGCAATTCTATTGTCGAGTAAATTCTAGAAACGAGGCCGGGGGTTCTGTACATCTGGGGTCCATGAGTGGGCACCAAAGGGTTTATGAACCTCTTGGAATCTAATGCAAAAAGATACGTGTTTTTGGAAGGCAAAGATCTATAACGTCCATCACACTGCAGATGGCTCCACGACCCCAGTGTTTATCTAGAACTTGGCTTTTTTGCCTCAGCCTAACCCCATTCAGCCTCCAGTGGACTTTTTTTTTTTTTTTCTCAGTAGCACTCTCTTTAGGCTAAAGAAGGGTAATTTTTTTTTTAAATTTAACATCTTTATTGGAGTATAATTGCTTTACAATGTTGTGTTAGTTTCTGCCGTACAACAAAGTGAATCAGCTACATGCATACATATATCCCGATATTTCCTCCCTCTTGCGTCTTCCTCCCACGCTCCCTATCCCACCCCTCTAGGTGGTCACAAAGCACCGAGCTGATCTCCCTCTGCGATGTGGCTGCTTCCCACTAGCTGTCTATTTTACGTTCGGTAGTGTATGTATGTCCATGCCATTCTCTCACTTTGTCTCAGCTTACCCTTCCCCCTCCCCATGTCCTCAAGTGCATTCTGTACGTCTCCGTCTTTATTCCTGTCCTGCCCCTGGGTTTGTTAGAACCATTTTTTTTTTTTGCGGTACGCGGGCCTCTCACTGTCGTGGCGTCTCCCGTTGCGGAGCACAGGCTCCGGACGCGCAGGCCCAGCGGCCATGGCTCACGGGCCCAGCCGCTCCGCGGCATGTGGGATCTTCCCGGACCGGGGCACGAACCCGTGTCCCCTGCATCGGCAGGCGGACTCCCAACCGCTGCGCCACCAGGGAAGCCCCAGAACCATATGTTTTTAAGGAAGGGTAATTGTTAACTGCCCCATTTCCATACGTTGTTTGTTCTGAGAGAGGAAGCTGAAACTTTTCAAGGGTTTTTTTTTCATGGATCCGTTATCATGGCAGATGGAGGATTGTCTGTAATTTTGTGTACCTGTGGAAGGAACAGAAGTAGGCATTATTCTCCAGGAGGGGAAGAGGG